AATCGTGCTCCACACCAAGAGCGTTCTGGAACCCTCCTTTAGGATAAGCGGCCTCCCGCGCACAGACAGCGCCGCGCAGCCGCTGCAGACCCCGGGACTGACGACAGCAGCCCTGCCCGTCTCGGTTAAGACCCGCACTGCCGGCAGCACAGAACCCACACAGAGCCGTGCGTGCCCGGGACGCGCCGCAGCGCTGTTACCGCGGCCCCTGCGGGCCCTCAGCGGCGCCGGGCGGTACCAGCCGCGGGGCGCTGCCGGCGGCGCCAGGCACGTCCGTTGCCCCCCCCCTTCCCCCACTCCAGCGCGGCGCAGCCGGGCGCATGCGCGCTAACGGCGTGAGGTGGCGATCGCACGGCCGGTTCCCGTCAGCCCGCGCCCGGCTCCGGCCCGGCGCTCCGCGGCCACGCCCCGGTGAGGCCCGGCCGGTTGAGGCAGCGCGGCCCGAGGCCCTACGAGGCCGCATGCGCGGAGCCCTCGCCCGCCCGCCCGTCCCGCTCACCGGCCCCCCGCTGGTGGTTGCTCCCTCGCTTCTTTGACTTGGGCATGGTCGCAGCGGCGCTCGGCTGGGCTCGGCTCGGCTCCTCGGTCCCTCTCTGGGTCTCGGTCTCTCTCTGCTCCCCCCCGCCCGGGAATCAGCGACAATCAGCCGATAGAAGAGCAGGATCGCTTTTTATTCCAACGCCTTTGCGAGGCCGACTTCTCGGGCCGGGGCAGCGGAGGTGATTGGCGGAGGCAAGCGAAGGACGAACTGGCGGCGATGGCAGAAATCCCCGTGAAGGCCCGCGAGCGGAGTCGATGCATCTTTCTCCTCTCAGACACCCGGGGCTAAAAGCGCGGAGCGGGCGCCGGCGCCGCTTTTATAGCGCCGAGCTGCGGGGGCGGGGCCTCGCCGCGCGCCGCCGCCGCAACCAATGACGGAGCGTTGCGACAGCACGCAGGTGACTCAGCCGCGCGAGTCCGTGACGCGCGGCGCTGCCACGCGCTCGGGGGGCGTGGCGTCATGGCGCCTCGCGGTGCAGGCTGGGGGCGGCGCGGCGCGGCCGGAGCCGAGTGGCGCCGAGGGGCTGAGTGGGGGGGGGGTGGCTGGCGGCCTCGCGGAGCGCGGGAGCTCTCAGTAGGCGAGGCCTCCTGAGGGCGCCTAAAAATAGGCCTCCGCCCCCCTGCAGGCGCGGCCGGGAGCCGGAGCGAAGAGAGACGGAGAGCGAGGGAGGGGCGGCGGATGGGGTCGTGTGAGGCCGCGCGGGCGGGGCCCGACCCGGCAGACAAAGGAGCCGCGTGCTGCTGCGTGAGGCGTGGCTCTCCTCACAGCTCTGCTCGCTGCGTGCGGCGCAGCGCTTCTGCAGCGCGAAATAGCAAATAGCTATCGTCAGAAGCCGGACTTCTGAAATTCAGCGAACAAATCTTCTTTTTGGCGATTGCAGAAAAGAGTTTTCCATTTTCTGCGTGCTTCCCGCTCGCGAGTCTGTGCCATGTGTCGCAGACATGATTGTGTGCTGTAGTTTAGGTTCGCGCTGTAAGTCCGTGTTTTACGTCCTACTCGCGTTCTGTTTGCTGGACAGTGCCTGCAGCAGCACTGCAGCATGAGGAGGAAAGGCAGTTTTGCAAAACGTGCTGAAGAGCTGCATGAGATGCAGTCCTGATGGCGTTATTTGAATTCCTCTGCATACAAAGTGCTTACGCCACGGATAACTTTCATCGTGATTCTCCACAGGTGCTACATGAGAACATAAAGGAAATGGGGCTTAATGAGCTGTTGACTTTTGAGTGAGCACTTGCTAACAAACGGCCCGTTTCTGGAAAATGGTTGCTGCTAGCTGTGATGTTTGCGGGTGCTGCACAGCACGAGTCTGTGGTCAACCGTTCCTTGTGGGGCATGGGAAGGCACACTGCTGCAGGGCCTGCTGAGCCCTATGCTCTTCAGATCCTATTGAAAAAGAGGAAAAAAAAAAAAAGTACATTCTGCCTGTGTGGAGGACAGCAGTAAAGTGTCTCAGAGGCACTGATTTTTCTCCTTCAAGAGGGTTGCTGTGAAACATGAAGGGAAAAGACAGCCTTCCAGGTAAATAGGTGGAGGAGGTTTAATTAAATCCAGAAGGCATGGCAGCACCCATGGGTACACAATGCCCTGTATTAGAATAAGCTGCATAAGCAACAGTTCCTAATAGCAGCCAAGGAAACTTGAATGGTGGGTGTATTTTCAATGCAAGATACCAATACCATTTCAGTAAGGTCAGCTGTGCCCTGACAGCTTCCTGTGTACTTGTCCTCTGATGTGTAGGTTATTCTCACAGGTGCAGGATGACCTTTCAGCATGGACTGAAGTGAAATAGTCACCTTTGTGCTGGTGCCTTGATTTCTCACAATGCTGTCTTCAGCTGCCAGCAAGGATGAGGCTGAGCACTGAGCTCCTTGCAGGTGTGATGAATCTGAGCATAAATGCAGAGCAGTGCCATGTGCAGGTGGGAATTCAGGTGTCCTGTAAGTGGCAGCTACAACAGTAACAGCAATAATGGGTGGAGTTGGAAGAGTCAAGGAGTGGTAAGTTTGAAGGTTGTCTGACTAGAACAGAGGAGATAAAGCCCCTGGAGCAGGAGAGAAAGTCCTGGCTCAGGTGTGAAAAGCCGCTGCTGAGGCAATAGATGTTAGTACTCTCAGACAACCAAAATGAGTTACTAAATAAAGGTGAAAAAAAAATCCACATATATGGATTTGTAATCACTTTGCATCTGACTTCTGCTTGTGACTGTGTATTCTGACACCCGCGGTCTCCAGGTTACCGAGATCCCCTGGATATCTGACAAAGGTTTAGTGAGATCTCACAACAGGGATTGCATATCACTGCTTAGTTTTGCAGTTTCACTATGACAGAACAGACTCTTTGTCTTGATCGTTGACTTCTTGCCCACTACCCTGATTTATCATATTGGCAGGAGCTCTAGGCGCCAGTGGGCCTAGAGCACACAGGCATCTTTGGATAAGAGAGTCGCACGTTGCTGGAGATCTGTATACCTTTTGTCTGGCTTTTGCTGGAGCAGTTGGTGCATAAGGAACATCATAACAGTGACACCAACAACATCAGCATTAAGTGAGAGCATCCTGTGGAGAGAAGCATGCCATGAGGCAGCAGGGGCAGGCAGGCCTGGAAGACAAAGTAAGCTGGGAGCCAAAGATGGCATCAGAGAGTGGTCGTGATCTTGCTGCTGGGCAGGTGAAGTCCCACAGAACCCATCCAGGAAGAACAAAGCAGGTCCACAGTTGTCAGGGGTGTCAGCCAGTTGTATAGGCAGACAGGTGATCCCAGTGATGATGAGTCTGAGGTCAGGCTGGAAAGGGAAACCAGCAAGTCAGGGTCAGAATTGGGTTCAGTGGCAATAACCAGAACCAGCTACCGATGTGGTTATCATCAGACAAACCCACAGTAATGAGAAGGGTTGAGATCAGTCTTGCTGGGCCAGGCTCTGGACCAGCAGGTGTATGGCCAGGCAGAGGGATGTCTCTAACATAGCTCAGGCAAGCACTTCGCTGTAAGTGCAGCTCTCGAGTGAAAGGAAGCAGACCCCACTTTGTAAAATTCTTTCCCACACACCTGTCTGATCCAAGGCCACTCAGCAGCATGGCAGAAATGGCTTGAGTACAGGCAGCTTAACTGGCAGTGGACCTCAGAAAAGGTGTAATGAAGAACTTATGCCCCAGGCTGAGGGGCGTGCATGTATGACTGAGAAAGTACTTGGAGCTTAGAATTTGATTGCCAGAGTTTATTCTGGATACATACAGGTCATCGTCGTGTAACAAACAATTAGAGACATAGCTGGACATACTCTGTTTACACCACTAAATGCTGTAAAGAAGTCAGAAATGAAGGAAAAGAGGAATTCAAGGGATTGCATGGAACCCTGATTCACGTAGGAGTTTTCCTCCTCTTTTGACATGATGGCTGTGCTATCTTTGTGAACAAAATCCCTTGGATTTTTTCTGTTCGTATTAGCTGTTCCTTTGAGGATGTCTCTCTTAAGTCACACAAAAGAGTCCCAGATTTGTACAGGTTTTCGTGCACTGCATAATGAACTTAATTGCAATCATAAAAATCTCAGATTTTTGTGCTCAAGATGCTCAAGAAAAGAGCACAAAGCTGGTGCACAGATCATGCTGAGGGCATCCATGGCCAAATACTCAAACTATTGGATTTGTTTAACTGTATTCCTGGTGACTACGTACTGAAAGAGTGTGAACCTGTTAGCAGTGCTACAGCCCTCACCCTGGAACACTTAATGCTCCAAATTAATGCTCTTGAGATTGATGTGCCTCACTGCCCAAAATAAATCTACCCATAACAAATCATAACCACAAACTCCCTCTGTTCTGACCACAGTTGTTGCAGCGGTGTACTTGTTTGTGACACTTGACTCTGTAGGCAAAGGCCTAAGTCATTCATTACCTCCTCAGGTGCCAGGGCACCTGAGCTTGTATCTGGGGAAAAAAAGGCTAAGATTTGGAAGGGAAAACTCTTATCATTGCACCGACACTCAGATACACGCATCTGCTTCCAGACATGCGCAGAATATGTGGCCAATCAGTTGTTACAGGGTGACTGATGAAATTTCTGAGCTAGTGACTGTAAGTAGCATGCATTTTTTACGTGCAATAGTAGGATACACAAACTTCAAACAAAAATATAGAGAGGAAAAGGCAAGAGCTTCCTTTTGAGTGCTGGAATGCATGTTCAAGGGCTAAACAGTTCCTGCTATAGTATTTCAGGGGTATTACATTACAGCAAAAGCTGTACAGTATCCAGGTCGGAGGTCCTTTCAGTCCTTTCATTTACCTCCCACCTTCTTATTTATATTTTAGAAGCCTCACCAGTTGTGGTCAAACATCTAAGAACTTTAAGTCCAGAATAAAATTAAATGTGATGGCAGGATAACTATTGGAGCAGCTATTATTAGAACCTGAAGGAGTTTTGGCCTTAGCTGAAGAACTGCAGGCACTGAAGGTTCCTGGTGCCTGCAGCTGGCTGAAGTCCAGTACTATAATGTGAAAGCACTCCACGGTCTTTCCCTAATTCCAGCAGCACTCTGTATGTGGACATGCAGAAAGCATTTGGAAGGCAAAAGAAAGCAATCAGGAAGGAAATTATATATGGTGAGTGATGGATTTAGCAAGTCTGCCTGCTTAGTGGCATGACCGTGCAAATCAGGTAGGTGGCTAATGGAAACAAATAGCATGCTCTCAGAGCCCTGGCAGTGTTTTTGTTGTATGTAACAGTGCTGGAGGCATATGTTGGACTTTGTACATAAGAGAGAGATGGATCATGCACTTTCAAATTTATAGTTATTAAGTTATACAGTACAATATATATGCACTTTGCCAAACACCGTATGTTTTAGCAGGTTGAACACATCTTCAGTTGCACAGTACCCTGACTTTCCAAGGTAAGGGGATTCAGGTGAATTTCTGGTCCAAAGCTTTTGTCTGATTTTACCCATTTTTACTGATTCTTACCTCCTTTTTTATGAGGCAGATCCTTACTGTGACTTACTCATGCAAAACTTTATTGAACCTCATTAAGAATTTTTCCTGGTAAGTAATGAGGGAACAATGGATCCTTAACCTCTTTGGTACATATGCCATTATTAATTTCACATCTAAATTTAGCCTTCTAAATTTGGACCATCACTGTCAGTCGCAACTGACCACAAACATTAGTCCTAACCATACCAGCATTACAGAGCAATTGCCCCCTGTGATAAGATTCCTTGTCAAATTTACAGCTCTTGCAAACATTTTGCTAGAATAAAAGTGAACAAATGAAAAAAAAAAAAAAAAAGTACAAACAAAACAAAACAATGTAATGGAATGCTAGATTTGTCCCTAGCTTATTGCTCCTTGTGATGCTTAAGTGAAACAGCAATTTGGGATAATGAACGTTGTGCTGTTGTAACACTGTGTTGTAGAAGCAAGTATTTCATGCTTCTTAAGGCCTTACGTGATGTCAGTTTGCATCTTACTTCACTTGGTTTCTCAGCCTGTTTTGCAAAATGTTGTGTTTCCTAATATCAGCTGCTGCTCAGTATTGCTGAGAAAAAGCAGCAATTTTAAAATGAAGGTTTTTTTTTTTAATTATTTTATAGATCCACATTCAAGTTCAAACCTAAAATTCCTAATGACTTCCAACTCCCAAAGCTGTTTTCAAACTATCAGAAATAGAAAGAACTAGAGGACTGTGACACAGCTTTTCCCTTATCATGCAGCACACCAATCAGAAGTAAACATCTTGTTCCCCTTAGCAAACATGTTTTCATTGCATTGCAACCCTGCTGACCCAAGCAGTTAGCCAATATTCTGTGGTATTTGTAGAGAAATCAAATATTTTTCCATTTCTGCCCCGTTATTTTCATGCAGTGTGCACATAGGCTCATTCCATTGAAAATTACTGAGAGTTAAATAGCAGGAGACAATACTCCAAGTTTAGTTTCTGCGAATTCTTGAGCCAAACCCCTCCATGCTCACAGTCCCATGTCCCTTTCTAGCTGTTTGCCAGGTACTTGTCTGTGCTCTGCTGCTTCTTTTGGAGACATACAGCTGCAATCAATAATCCTTGTTTGTTTCTGCAAGCAGACTTCTAACTGCTTGTCCAGGCACTTCAGGCTTGCGTGTGGGGTTGGTCAGCAAGCAATGATTGTACACTACTGCCACAGGCATGAAGTGAAGTGATGCTGGCCTGGCTCAGGCTGGACATCAGCTGCCTGCACCGCTGCATCTGCTGCATATGCTGCTGGAAGCATGTATATGGCGTTTCAGTTCCTTCTGAAAAATATCCTGCAATATGTTTGCCTCTTGCTTAGGAGAGTGGGCCCTCCCTCACCTGAGACAGCAAAAGCATTTCACACAGTTTGCAGGAATATGCTGCCCAACTACGGAAGAGTAACACAGAAAGTCATTCCAATAGCTGTTCTTGGTTGTTGTACTCATGAGCAATTCTGATCCCAGGAAACAGATTTTGCTGTCCTTCCCCTTGTCTCTGTGTGATGCAGGTGAGCAATGACAAAGCCGCACACCATTAGTTGTTTGTCAAAATACGTATGGTTTTGTAAGACGTCTTTTTAATGCAAATATAAAGGATTGGTCCTGTTTGTTTTCAGTGATAAAAATTCAAGTAAAACAACATCTTGCAAAGATTGGAAGGGTTTTTGTTTTCTATCTACCTGTCCAAATGTTTGTTCTTCCAGGTAATCCTGAAATTAACTCATTTGGATGGAACTTAATTCTGGACAAGTTTCTAATTCCCCCATCAACCTCTGGGAGGCCGTTTCCAAACATTAGCCTTCTCTTTACCAGAACAATTCATGCAGAGTATTTATCAATGTTCTGATGATAAACCTGACCTTCACCTGCTCTGTGGTGTGTACTCTTCTGAGAGCAGCTGGTTGCTTTCACAACCTTTGTTTTTGTGGACACTGTGTGAATTCCCTAGGGAATTTTTCACGTATCTTAAAATATTTGAATACAACATCTAATTTAGGAGCCTAGTCAGAACTTAGGTAGACTGAACTATCATGATGTGCTGACTGCAGGGCTTCCAGGTGACTGTGCTTTTAACCAGCATATCTCTGTGAAGTTCCTGAAGTTGGGAAGAATGAGGCAAGGCTTTAATGCTGTTGTTCTCAATCTTCTGACTCGTCTTGAATTCTCTGTGCTGGTTCTTATGGGAATTTATTTTTCTTGGTAAAGGGAGGAAGTCTGACTTTTTACACAGGTAGATAGTGATAGGACAAGGGGGAATGGTTTCAAACCAAAAGAGGAGATTTAAATTAGCTATTAGGAGGAAATTCTTTACTCTTAGGGTGGTGAAGCACTGGTACAGACTGCTCAGAGAAGCTGTGGATGCCCCATCCCTGGAGGCTTTCCAGGCCTGGCTGGATGGGGCCCTAGGCAGCTTGAGCTGGTGGGTGGCAACCTTGCCCATGCTGGGGGTGCTGGAACTAGATGGCCTTTTAGGATTTCTTCCAACCCAAGATTCCGTGATTCTATGATAAAGACACTGTTGGCCAGTATTCCAGATGATGTCTCGTCGCTGTCATCAATAGCTTTCCCACTTCTCTGTCAATTGGAAATACCCTGTCTGAAATAGTCAGCGTGTTAACTTTTAACAGGTATCAACTGTGTCCTCTTTCCCTCCTCATGATTTACAGTTCATTAACTCTAGTTTAGACCTGAAGTTCAGGATAATCCTGAAGTTTGCGATGTTTCACTTCAAATTATTAAGTAGGTGATTAAAGTTTACTTTATTTGTCAGGCTAGATCTCAAGTTCAGTTCTTGCTGGGCAATGTTTTGAATCTTTAAATACACCCTCTATAAAGACATTCCCCCAAAACTACACGGTGGTTTTCTAATTCACCATCTTTTTTGCTGTGTCCTGGCCATCAGTGACAGCATTGGTCTGCTGTTCTCAAGAATAAGAGATTAAGAGATTCCTATCAGAAGCCCTTTCTGTGTGTTGAGTAGTCCTCCAGTTGTTGCCTATACTTTTTTCAGGCCATCCAAACAGTGACTGTTGAAAGGTATAATTTCTTAATAAAGGGAAATGTGACAGTAAAACTGCTATCAGCTATTAGGTAATTGCAGCTCTATTTCCGTTCAGTGAGTGGAAAATTATTCTTGTTTGAAAGAGGATTATTTGATTGCTGCTTATTTGGGAGGTGCTTTCTCGCTGCAGATTGCACTGGTGCTGCTTAGGACCTGCCAAAGCCCATGCTTCGCAGTGTCGATAATACTCAAACTTCACATGTCTCTTAAAACCAAAAAGTGAAAATATGAAGAGTGTCTACATGTTGGAGTGGAAAGATTGCTTCAGCTGCTGGCTTACAGAGTTGTGGTTGAGCAAGATAAGGAAAGGAATGACGTTTCCACAGAAGGAAGAGTTGGTTGGGTTGTTTTTTTTTTTTGTTTGGTTTTTTTTTGTGGTACAAGAGGGCTTGTACATGGCTTTTACTCTACTTAATTCAAAACCAGGGAATATCTGGTTGCATACCTTGTGGTACCTCAAAGTCAAAGTCCTGTTACATCCCAGATACTTTGGCATCCCTGTATTCCTATTCCTATTGCACACAGGATGACTGCATTCTTCCTTCCCTTCTCTATTCAAAGGATCCACCTTTTCTACTTTCCCACTTTTGCCAGTGTTTTTGCATTGCCCTATCTCTTGGTACAATTTATTTTCCAAGGGATTCTGTATCCTTCATTTCATTTTCTCTGTACCATGTCCACCAGGATTCCCTTCTCTCATCCTTCTCCCTTTCTCCATCACAGACTGAATTAAACACTTTGGATTTACACTCAGAAGAGCTGAGATCTTCAGGCTGTTGGAAGATTTTATCAACCTGTATTTTGAGAGGTAGGCATGCCAACTATTGTTGGAAGTGCTGGGCATGTTAAATAGCAGCTCCAACTATCACTCTCTGGTTGATTGTCCTCAAAATCAGGCAGTTCCTTATATTCTGGAAATGACTAAATGTAATATAGTGAAGTTGTCACGTTACAGTTAAGCATGAACAAACATGGGTATGAAGTTCTATGTGGGCTGTGCCTTTTCAAGGTCCAAAGGTGAAGGCTCGCTCCTGGGTACAAAAGCTGCTTTACTATTTCAGGTACTGATTAATACAATATTTTTAAAAATCAAATTGTTAGTATTAAGTTATCAGCATTTAAACAGTAAGGAGCTACACAGAGGGAGAAATGTGCATATCGTACAGGAACTAGAGGGCCCTCTCTGGCAGAACAAGTACATCTGTCAGATGAAAGCAGAAAACCAGGTGCAAATGGAGCAGAAAAAGGATGCAACCCTCACAGAAATCTTCCATGCAATATACTGGATGCAGGGCATATACAAAGTAATAAAGTTTAGGATTTCCAGGTGCTGTCATTGACAGCCAAGATTAATGACTCATTCAAATATGTGTAAGTGATGCACTTTGAAAATAAGAATGTGGGCAGACAGGTATGGGCACGGAAATGCACACAACAGTTTGTTTAAACAGTGTCTTCCCAACCAGCTTGGTAACAGGCTGTAGTACTGCTCCATGCCTGCAACCTACATCTCTTGTTGCAGTGCCACAGAACCCTGCTTGGCTCCCATCCGTGCCTCCTGAACTTGCAGAGTGCCCAACACAACAGCCTTAAGAAAGAAAGAGGAAGAAGAAATTATAAGAAAAGAGAAGAAGAGGGGAAAATATGTGGCATGCACTGGTTTCATACTGATTAAGAGTCCTTGCTGGAGATACCCCGGACCAGCACTTCCCTTCCTCACATCAGGCCTGGCCCACTGAAAGTGCTGCCTGAGTGACTATCCAAATGGCATCTGCCTGCCTGAGTTGGCTCCCACTGTGGTCCTCACACCATCAACTTGGACAGCTGCAGCAGCAGGAGTGGGAATGTCCCCCCATTCCTAGGATGGTTCAGGTGCCCTGAAAGTGCGTGTTTAATGGGAGCTGCCATGAAGGTTGTTGGAGAGACACGTGGAAATAGCAACCAGCATGGTGCCCTATGAGCTGGCTCATTAAAGACACTAATAACGATGTGCAGCATTCCTCTGCCTTGAGATCAGCACCCCAGAGTAATCAGGATGATGCCAGAACTGTGCAACACCTTCCAACGCTGTCATTAAAAGCCAAATCTTCGCCTCAGAAAAGTCAGTGCCAAAACCCCATTTCAGTCTTCTGCTGCCTTTTGGCCATCTTCTGCCAGCCCAGACATTGGGCACACACCAGGGGATGGGGACATTAGCCTATGGGTGGATGGGAGCCAGGATTAGGCCTGGTAAGTGGCCTCCTGATGCCCAGCAGCTCTACTCTTCTGGTTTTCTTGCTATTTCTAGCACAGAGGCAATATACTCAGGACAGAAAACAGCATGAGTGGAAATGGAAAAGATAAGATTCTGTAAGATATCATACAATAAATACAATGCAGTATTGTATAAGATAAGACTGCTACTGTTAGAAAATCTATTGCTTGGTCAAATGATAAGGAAGGACAAAATAAGTCTTCTGGGGCTTATAATTCGTTGTGTGTTTTTAAGGATTAAAGTTTTCTTTTTAGGGAGAAGTTGAGGGGAGGTTGGTTTCCTTTGTTTCAGATCATACTTCTAATTATAAAGTTCTCTTTTGTCTCTCAATGTTGGTGGGAACTAATCACTACTGTGGTCTGAATAATACATCTGTCTCAACATCCAGACTTTTCAGAGGGCACCTGATTTTTAGAGGAGGCTCCCAAGTAAAGGTGTGTGCTGAAGGCACCCAGCACCCCGCAAGCACAGGGAGAGAGGTAGAGCTCAGAAAGCCCCAAGGACCCTTCCTACCAACTGTAGGGCAAAGTCTGGAGTGAAAACACAGAGCAGTTTTCTTCTGGAAGTTTCTGCCTAGGACCTCTGTCCTTCTCTGTGGTAGCACATGACTGCATGCCACAGCACCAGGGTTAAGAAAATGTCTTCAGAGGACAACCAGACTGTTTTCCTCTTCCTGTATCACAGAATTTGTCTGTTCATAATTATACCCAGGGCAGTTAGAATCTCTTTAACTCTTTTCAGTATATTTATGTGTTATATAAATAGGGCTATAGGGACAAGGCATACCCTACAGGCTAACAATGACCCGCTAGCTTTGCACGTACCATCTCTTCCATTTTTTATTTGAAAGCATCTCCTGAACAGTGGAGTAACATCACAGAATCACAGAATTGTAGGGGTTGGAAGGGACCTCCAGAGATCATCGAGTCCAAACCCCTTGGATCATCCTTGGAGAGCCTGTCAGAAGCACCGCTGTGGCGAGTGTGTGACCTGGGCACAGCCTAGACTGACCTGGACAAAGAGGTGAGCTGGGCTTGGTGCTGCCTGGTGGCTGGAAGGAGTCTCAGCAGAAAAGCTGGGCTGGGGAGGAGTTCCCAGCTCAAACGAGGCCCTTCCCAATGGCTGTTTCCAGGGGAAATAGTTTCTCTGAGAGATTGTGGCACACGTTTTGGTGAGGATGAGGAATTGCCGTCACTCCCCTGTGTAACGCTACAGTGCAATGGAAAGTGCAGCAGTAACAACAGGGTGGCAAAGTCCTAGGCTGCAACAAGCGAGGATTTGCCCAAGTGCAGCAGTTGGGGACACAGAAAGAAAGGAAAAAAGCTGCTGAGCCTTGGAAGGCCTCAGGTAGCAGGGATCTCCAGAGAGGCACCCTTGCCTCCACTGCCAACCCTTCAGTGATGTCTGGGAAGGGTTTGTGTGCACCTGAGCTGCCCTGGGTTGGCCCTGCCTTCCCACCAGGTGCTCAATCACTGCCTCAAGCTGTGACTGACCATTGCCGCACAGCCCTGCAAAACTGCTGCTGGGCCCCAGCCTTTATCTCAGACATGACAAAGGAAGAAGAGCACAGACTTGATGCAGTGCATCTTGTGCTTTAATGACCCACGGAGCGCTGGCTGTGCCGTATCCAGCACATTTTTAACAAAACCCCACTGAAGGCATGGTGGAGAGCCGGGTGCTCAGCTGGGGACATGGATTGTCCGGTGACATCACAAGCATGGTGACATCACAAGCACTGTGCTTGGGGCTGTGGCTGCCACCAGTGAGTGCCACAGCCGTGAGCGCTGCACAGGAGTGTGGACACACTGCGTAAGCTCTCGTCCCGGCTGGCAGTGAGAGTGGTGTTGGCTTACGGGTGCTGCCCGCTCTTGCTGACGGTGTTGCTCAGCCATTGGGCTGGTGTGTGAACTGGAAGGGAGAAGGACTGCAGCTGTTCTTGGTAAGCCAGAACTGTAGGTTTGTCAAACGTGTGAGTCGTACCAGTGCATCCATTGCAGCTGCAGCAAGAGGAGAAGATGAAGGGAGTCATTTTCATGTCAGGAACACAAAATGCGTGCTGCTGTGTGTATAACTGGTGATGAGATGGAGGACAGTGCTTGCTGGGAGAAGTCGTGGCAGTAGTTAGACACAAGTTGGATCTCGACTTGGCACAGTTCTTGCAACCAGCTGCTTCTGAGACACTGCCCTCCTCCAGAGTTCATACGGCATAAAAGAAGAAAGCTGGAAAATGCTTATTCCTCATGATTATTCCCTTGTTGATGCCTCCTCTAGAGTTTCTGTCCGAGAGGACATTTTGTGGATCCAAGCAGCACCGGACTGCAGCCGTCTCTTTGCAAGAGCGGGGAATTCCTTTGGAGACAGCCCAACCTTGCTCTAAGAAGTTCCCCATGGCTCTGCAAGGAGACGACTGCTACTACTATTTCAACTCTGTCTGTCTTAAGGTTTGGTTGGGTGTCTTTTGCCTGGATTATCTTTCCTCGCTTTGAAGAGGAAGGGGTGGAGCGGGGGGAGACCTGCTGGCGATGCATAGCCTTCATCAGCAGAGGGATTGTGCGCTCCCTGCTAACAACCTGGGCCGACAGCATGGACGTGTTTCAGGCTGTGCTCTTATTTTGCTGTGTGGTTTCCTTTTGCTCGCAGGGAGACAGCTGTCCCTTCCGCCACTGTGAAGCGGCTCTGGGGAGTGAACGAGTCTGCCGACTGTGGATACAGGGCTGCTGTTTCCGGAATGACTGCAAGTTCAGACACATGAAAATTGAAGTGAGTGAGTGCCTAAAGATGAGCTCTCCACCTCCCTCAGGCACGACCTGGAGCGCTGCATCTCTCTGCAAACGTCCTCTGCCTGTTTTCATGACCCTTCCTTTCTTTCTCTCTTCAGAAGAAGCGCAGTGCGGTTCGCTGCTATTGGGAGAATCAGCCTGGAGGCTGTCAGAAACCCCACTGCCGTTTTCTTCATTTGAAGGAACGCGGTGGGAATGGACCGACCGTACCACCAAGCAACGGTGAGTTCCTGATGGCATGAAGCATGAAAGACTTAATTATGAATATTACTTCTGAGCGGGTGCAGGATGTCAGGAAACCATTCATTGGGGAGTGCAGGGAAGAGTGGTGCTAAGTGAAATATTGGTTTGTGTTTTGGCTGTCAGAATAGGGGTGGTTTTTTTCTGCAGACAGTTAAATGCATTGTAGGACTGTGCTGACTGCAGAAATGACACAACATTTGAGCAGGGGAAAGGCAAACACAAGAAACTATGCTTGAAAATTGGAAGCTTGTGGCTGACTGTGCTGAAACCTTCTTCCAAAGAGATGCTCTTCAATTATTTCTTGTCTTCTTTCTGCCAGAAGCTGACACAAGTGGCCTTCCTCTGACCAGCGGCCTTGCAGAAAGTCTGGAGAACCAGACAGAGGTTGAGAAGGCACCAGACAGAGGTACAGATACTGAACAGGCATCTGGGTTTGATGTGCTGCCTTTCTGCTCACTTGTTCTGATTGTTCTCTCCTGGACTGTTCTCTGCAGGTGACATCCCAACTTCCTCCCATGGCCCGGCTGCACAAAAATGCAAGCAATCTGAGGAGGAGGAGGACAAAGCAGAGGAACTGCAAGGCGCAACAGCTGAGCTGCACAGAGGTGGGGAAAGAACTCTTCTCTGAGGATGAGGACCTCGAGAAGTTACTGATGGAAGTCACAGAAGAAGAACTGGAAGCAGAAATTGATGACGACGCTGTGGATACAGGTGAGCTCCTAATGGAGCTCTGAGACCAACAACATTTCAACATCATAGTCTGATTGAATATTTTAAAACAACAACAACAACCATCAATTAAAACCAACCCTATTCCTTTTCAACCCTGTTCCTTTTCTTTCTTATTCTGAGGGGACGCTTTTCCTGAAACTCTGCAATGAGTCTTAAAGCAGAGTCAAACTGGTAAAAATCAGCAGTGCCTGCATTCTGTTCTGATTTCCCTGCTGGTCAGAGTTCAGGGGTCGTGCACCCACTCCCCAGCTCTGGGCGGCTGCCTTCAGCATCGAGAGCACAAAGCACTTGTGTGGGCACAGAACGACGTCCATCCACAAGGCCAAACCTGAAACTTCTTCCTTCCTCCCCCCTTAGCAAAACTGCATTGGGTTCAAGTGGAGGCTCTGGGGTTCTGCTTCCTTGGACAGTGCCTGTGTCAACTGCAGCACCCACCTCCCTCTCGCATCTCCCACTTCCTCACCCCTCAGGTCTCATGCTGCATGCTGACATGCATGAGGTTGCTGATAAGGTCTTGCTGTGCATGTCTAACATGCTGAAGGTGTAATTCTGGCTGCCTTTTGATGCAGTTGAGTAGCTAGAACTGAGGAAGGAAAGCAGATTTGCATGTTAGACTATTACAGACCCAAATGGGATGAGTAGTCACTGTAGTTTGCAACAACATTTTTGACACGATTTGTAATAGCACGTAATGGCAATTGAGGTGCTGAAGAGAAGGCACGTCTCCTACAGTTTAACCACAGGAACAATTAAAGGTGCAAAAGTCCATTTTCCTTATGTGCTGTCAGGCAGAATACATTAACCTATGAACAAACCCAGAGGTTGCAATCTTTTGTTCTGAGAATTAGCTAACCTCATAATTACAGGTTTTTGTATAATCAAAGGAAACTCCTTTTGATCTGTTCTTTTACACCGAGTTGGTTTACATCAAAATAATCATAGGCATGGTTTGCCCAAGGAATGTCTCCGAGCAGCGTGACTGAGATTTTCTTCCAATAAAACTTATTACACCTTGAGAGTTTCCAGTGAGCTTTCAGGAGGGCTTTCAGAAAGAGAAATTACCCGGAGCTATCTACCATGATAGAAATGGAGTCTAAGTACAAAAGCTGCCTGTGCTTCCCAGAAATATTCGCCTTTCTAAGTCAGGACAGCGTCATAAAACCTCATGACATCATCTACCTCCATTCAGTCACAACTCATTTCTCACTAATATAAGGAGTGCAATCCAGGATAGATTTACTTCCATGAACATAATTTACTTTGTTATTTCATGAAAAAAAAGCAATTAGCCCAGATGTCAGGTGTTACTGACTTCTGTACCAGGTAAGTTGATGACGGCAGCAGATGTTTCTTCAGGATGGGAACTCCTGTTCTCTCACTAAGAAGACAGGTTGACTTACATCCCCAAATCCAGCAACAATTGTGGCACAGGGCTGTGTAATTTTCCAGCATTCAAATTTCCTTTCAGGAGAGCACGTAAGCAGCAATCTTTGCCTCTTCACCTCAAACAGGGGCACGTGCCAAGGGTTTGCTGTGGAAGTACCAGAGCATCTGTGCCAGCTGGGCTGCCTTGGTGCTCAGCATCAGGGCTTACCTCGATGGCAGCTTCTCCACTCCTTCCGCTTGGTGTCACACAAGCACAAAGCAGTACCCTTGTTTTGCACATGGCCTTTATTCGGGGTGCTTATTCTGGGAGAAAAAACTTGTAACTGAAGGCACTTAAAGACACTTCTGCATTTATCAAACTTAGCATGATGAATCCTGGCTGTTATGCAAGCCTTCGTGTCAGTAAGTTTAACAGCTGTGGTGTCCTAAAGACTGCTCCACGTTTAGAAGGGTAAACAAGGCTCTTTTTCCTTGGCGGTTGCTGAGAAAGCTCCTAACAGGTCTAATAATGCTTTTGTCCTGTGGGAAATATGTATGTTAATTTGGTCGTGTAAACACTCCTTCCTCCTAAGGAAATGCTCTGCTTGGCCCTGCATGTCCCTTCACGTGTTTTATAGAAACATTTATATAAACAGTTGACACCCATGCCTCTTCTCACCTCATCATTAACATCGGTCAAAATATAACAGCCTCCAAACACTTTGCTATATTTATGACTTCTGTACAGAATCTTCCCAGTCCTCTTCCTCTCTAGAGTTAAATGCCTCTGTTGCATCAGATGAATTCAGGCTACTTTAGACTTGTCAGTCATGGTAGCCAGGGAGAATCGTCCCTGTAAAGAGCTTTATGGGCATCTCTAGCCCTGATCTTCGCAACTTAGGCATTAAAAAAACAACCTTCAAAACTTAGGACTGGAGCACATTGTTCCTTCTACATTTTGTATCTACATTTTGGCTACAGTTGTGAAGGCAGCTGCTTTTAAAACAATTTTCCTGTTTTTAAAAGCAATTTTTAAACACTGACTGATATCACTGCATCCCTGATTGCTGCTCAGCACGAGCCATAATTATGAATGGAGGGCACAAAAGGAGCTTGCGCTGCTGCCATCTCCTGGCCCAGCTAATGAAATCCTCAGAGCAGTAACAAAGGCGCATCTACAATGAAGAGATAGTAAACTAAAATAGTACATCAATCTTCCTGAAGGCAGCAGTTATATGCAGGGAAAGCAGGTTGAAGGCAGGGTACACCAGAAGGACCACTGCCAACTGGAAATTGCAGTGCCCTCTGCAACTGTCTTGCTCATTGTTTTCCCACCAATGTAACACTGATGATGACAATAAGACTCATAAGAAAAGATGCATCTCTCTGTGTTTTGGAAGGCATTTGATACAGTCGATCCGCAGCCAATTTTGTGGTTTTGTTGAAATGATTTCCCCACTGTTTGTACAATCCTTTCAAAGCATGGAAAAAGAGAGAGGAAAATGTTATTTGGTTTTGGGCAGTTAAATGGAAAGCAATGGAAATGACCCAGGGAAGTTCAAGGAGAGGTGGAGGGTCAGATATTGTATCTATATAAGACAGACATTGATTATGTAAGTACAAAATATGTTTAGTTTCTGCCCTTATTTTGTGAGCAGAAGTACAGTATTTTGTTTTTACTCCATTCACACATGCTGAATTTCAGACTCTGTAGTTTTTCCATTGTGCCAGCTCACTCACAACACCTTTGCACGTATCAAAATTATTTTTAACGATTAAGAATCCAAAAAGAGCACAACAGTCCCTGATATCACACCTCTGCACTTCCACTGCAGTCTTCACCACTCCTCAGCAATGAATTCTGCTGCCGTTCCCCAGGACGACGGAGCAGGATTGAGCTCTTTGCTCCCTTCCGCAGCCGCCGCTGCATTCATCACCCAGCCAGCTGGCTGCATCAGTTCCCTTCGGATTCTCTTTCCCTGACTAAGCAGTGCTGCCATAAAACTGCATTGTATCTGTGCGCTCTGCCCTTCCTCCACAGATGTTACAACTTCAATGGGCATACACAGTCCCTCAGCAAAGCTAAAATAATGCTGTGCCAAGTTCCTCTTGGCCAAGATACTTCCTGATGCTGATTTTTTTAGAGCAGGTGCCAGCAGCGTACCTTTCCCACCCCAAGGACAGTGCGTCTTTGCTTCATGCCTCCTGGCAGCCCGCCCTCATGGCATCCAAGTTCCTTGGCTTCAGCATGGTTTCCATACGATCAGGTTACATTATTTTGGGATAAGAAATGACTTTGGAGCAGGCAGCACTCTCTGGAGCGCAGTCATTTACACTCAACAAATATTTTGCATACACAAATGTATGCAAAAAACAGAAACATAAAACCTACTCTTAGGAAGAGCTATTTTTCTCATGTGGTGTGGTACGGCAATAGTGCTGAATGAGGCTTTCTGCACAAGCCTCTATCCCATGCAATGAGGTAAGTAAATGTCATCTGTCATTGCCTATTGTTTAATCTCACTAGCAGTGACTTTAGGGAGACACTGCCGCCCCAATGGGATGACTTGTAAGAACTGCAATCAGAATTTGGCTTCACTTGGTAGTTGTTATCACTGCTGTGCAGTGTACACTAACCAAAGTTGCACTTCTCTGCTGCTTTTATGGCTCCCTGAGTTCACATGCCACCTTAGTGGAATGCTTTATAAAGGTGTGTAAGAGAGAAGGGATTAGCACTCGTTAGAGACCTGTGCAGTGTGCAGCAGGGCACACCTCTCACTGCTTTCCTACACAGCAGGAGAACAAAGGAGTGCAGAGGACAATATAAAACATTTGCCATGCGTTTATCTTGTCAGTACTGCTCTGTGTGGCTGGCATGTCTGTAAGAAAAGTCCCCATATCTTTGGCAGGAGCAAATGCCTGCGAGCATTTGTGAGTGAACTGCAGTGTGAGTGAAATCCTTCAGCTGGCTGTGGCCACCACATAGCAGCAGTGAGCTGGAGGCACATCCCCACAGGTACAGCTCAGAGCAATTGCCAAAATGCTCCTGCTGCTTTTATACCTCTTGGCAGTTTTGTCATGGATCCCAGGAGAGAGATGGGAGCTTGGAGAGTGGCAGGTTGGCCTTTCCTTGAGGGCATTTCTTACCATGGGGACAAATGCTGACTTGCAGCTGACTCTGCCCCATCTCCACATTACTCTGAGACCTCAGTGGCCACACTTTTCAGCCCTGTGGCTTTTATGTGCGTGCAGATTCATCCTGTGCACACGAGCAGTTGATTTTTGAGCAGAGCCTGGTTCCCAAGGGTCACTGCACACATCCTGCCCCCACAATAGCCACCATCCCCTCCTTTCCACCTCAGTACCCACTGGAAAGCAGCACCGGATGGCTCTCCCCCTTTTCCCTCATTCCCTCCTCCCATTCCTTCAGCTGCATGTCATGCCATCAGAAATTCCTTGCTGCAGTGCTCCATTTTCCTCTGTCATTTGGCAGCTTGGGAGCAGCATATGCTGCAGTTGGCCCAGAACAGCCGTGTGCCAATTGGAGTGCCAGCACCCAGTGCTGTGTTAGGTTGAGCACGGCCTCTCGCAGTGGAGCGGGCCAGACTGCCTTCCTCTCTCCTCAGGGCATGCTGCCCTGCCCTGTCACTGCATTCTACGACTCCTCCAGGAGCCAAATAGCTTTGAAACTCCTTGTTCTCAGGCAT